ATAATTAAATGCCCTAATGACAACCCTAATGCTATGGGTTAGGCACTGGCCTGCTAACCACATGTGGGCAGTTCAAACCTACCATCTGCGCCACAGTAGAAAGATCAAGCTGTCTGTTTCCGTGAAGATTTATATAGTCTTGGAAATCCTATATAGAGTGGCTATAATTGAAAATTGACTGGATGGCAGAAGGTTTGGTTTTTAAGGGGTTTTGGTGGCACAATGGTTAAACACTTGGCTGCTAAAGAGAATGTTAGCAGTCTGAATGCACGCAGTAACTGCACATGAGACAATCTAGAGATCCACTCCTGTAAAGATCACAGCTTAGGAAACCCTATGGGGCAGTTCTACACTGTCACAAGGGTCACCATGAGTTAGAGTCAACTGAATGGCACAAACCAAGGTGTGATTTGAGAGTCTGCCATGCTAACAGGTTTCCAGGCATGGCCAATACTCCAGATCCTTAGAAAACCCTTAGTAGTCAAGCTGTAAAGATAATGGTACTATATATACAAGTTACTTCCAAAGACACAATCCCAATGGAATGCTTCTCTAATTGATACCAGATCCATTTTCTTATCACCTCAATATCTGCAACTCTTTTTTTTTAAATACTTTTATTGGGGGCTCATACAACTCTTATCACAATCCATACATACATCAATTGTATAAAGCACATTTGTACATTCGTTACCCTCATCATTCTCATCATCTCTCCACGTAAGCCCCTGGCATCAGCTCCTCATTTTTTTCTCCCTCCCTCCCCAGTCCTCCCTCCCTCACAAACCCTTGAAAATTTATAAATCACTAATTTGTCATATCTTACACTGTCCAACACCTCCCCTCACCCACCCCTCCGTTGTCCATCCCCCAGGGAGGAGGTTATATGTAGATCCCTGTAATTGGTTCCCCGTCTCTACCCCACCCTCCCATCACCCTCCCAGTATCGCCACTCTCACCACTGGTCCTGAAGGGATCATCCATTCAGGATTCCCTGTATTTCCAATTCCTATCTGTACCAGTGTATATCTTCTGATCTAGCCAGATTTGTAAGGTAGAATTGGGATCATGATAGTGGGTGGGGAAGAAACATTTAGGAACTAGAGGAAAGTTGTATGTTTCATCGTTGCTACACTGCACCCTTACTGGCTCATCATCCCCCGCAACTCTTCTTTAATAGTATTACTAAGGCTTTGTCTCTAATAGTCTCTAAATTTCCTTCCTCCCATTTTTTAATTTTTCCATACCTTCAAAATAATACCTAAAGTTTATATATTCTTACTTTGTGCCTAAATCTATTTCTATTATTATCTCCTTTAAGTAGATCCTAAATCAGCACACCGACATCCAATAATTTGAGACTTCTTGCAGGATCAAATGAATGAAAAAAGAAAACTATAGTACAGAACAGTATAAACTGGGTCTGGCCACTATCTATCACAAGGACTCTATGCAAAGGAAGGAAAAGAAATACACTTCCCTCTCCCTTACTGACAAGGTTAGGTTCCAAAGACCAAGTCACAATGCAAAAATCAGCATTATGTGAAAATGGAGGATAACTACAACATTATAACTACTAAATTACACCATAACATAACAGCCAAATTACACCATAACTACCAAATTACATCATTATATAACTGTCAAACCAAAGAATCATGGTCCAGAGAGGATGACACAAACCCTTAACCATCACAACCAGTGTTACTCTTGCCTCTCACCTCAGCGTTCACTACTGTCAGGCAGATGTTGTCAATGCACAAAATAGTTGAATAGTAAATTGTTGCAAACGTGAAATGTTGGATTATGAGATAGTCAATAAGAAAAGAGTAGGCATACTAAACAAAAATCATGACAACATATTTTTATATGGTGAAAAGATCTGTAAACTCTGTTAAAGGAGTTATATATTCTGAGTTATATAGTCTTTACAATAAAATCCTAGCAAATTTAGCAAATATGTTATTCTTTGGGTACTGTCACCTTGTTAGCTTTAAAGTATAGTTTTAATGAGAGTAAAACACTTTTAAATTTTAAAACTATATACTTGAAAATTCTAGAACATGTAAATCCCATTGGTGTTCCGGCCAGATCCTATTGTAAAGCTTTAATTTAAAATAATGGATCCCTAAATCTAATCAAGCTATCCATTCGACTGTAATTGAGTTAATTTCCCATTTTTGCTTTCACCTTGAGACACATTAACAATAACTTTCATATTAGTCAATGGAAAAAAATTCCAAGGATGTTACAAATTGTGGGGAAGAAACTGATTTTGTGACTGGAGAATCACCTAGTATATTCTTCTTCTCAAAGAAGAGATTCAAATTTAATTATCTTACAGTTGATGTTCCCCATACTAGAAATACATGTAATCAGGCTCTTCCTCATATATTTCCCACCTTCATTAAAAGTACACCTGGTCTCCCAAGCCAGAAACTTGAGTGTTGTTGTGGATTGAATTATGTGCCTCCAGAACATGTGTCATAAATGCTAATGTCTATGCCTGTGGTAATACTCCTATTTAGGAATGTGTCATCTTTGTTATGTTAATGAGGCAGTATGAGTAAAGGGTGTATCTTGAATCAATCTCTTAAAATAGAAATAAGATTAAACAAGTTAACAGAGCAGAGAAGCTGAAGGTAGATGCCAAGACACATGAAAATCACCCAGGAGCAGAAACTCAGGAGCGGTAAGGACTTTCCTCCAGCACCAACAGAGAAACCCTTCCCCTAGAGCTGGCGCCCCGATGGCAGACTACTAGCCTTTTACATTTTAGTTTGTATAAGCCATCCACTTGTGGTATTTCTGTCATGGCAGCACTATGGATAACTAAGGTAAGTTCCTTCAGCTGTACCATTTCCTGGCCCCCAGGTGAAACATCCACAAAGTCCTATCCATTTAGCGTCCTAAGCGTCATTTCAATCTGTTCTCTCCATTACCTCTGTCATGCTACAGGCTGATTTTGCTTTTCACCTTGCCTATTACATGACTAAGGGGCCCTGGTGGTGGTGTGGGTTAAGCATTGAACTGCTAACCAGAATGCTGGTGGTTTAAACCCACCAGCCACTCTGAGAGAGAGCGACGAGGCGATCTGCTCTGGTAAAGCTCTAGTCTTGGAAACTCTATGGAGGATCATTATGAGTTAGAATCAACTCAACAACAGGTTTTTGGTATTGCAAGTCTAACCTCGTTGTCTCTAGGCACACTGTCCATTATGATCTTTTCCCCCTATTAACACCTAAGTGATTTTCCAAAATGCAAATTTAATGTCCCTTTCTCTGAAACCTTTCATTATGTCCCTATCAATCATAGAATTCTATATTTTAGGCAAATAAAGCATTTGTTATACAATATTTACACTGTGCAAATCCATAGTATGTTAATTTCCAATGCACACTACCATTATATGTGTGCATGTTATTTGCTTAAAAATATAGTAATCAACACTTCACTTCCCATGGGTTGAGTCCTGCCTGTCTCTCAAACCTCACATCCCACTATGCTTCCATCAATATCAAACTACACCACTTAATGTCTAGTATAGTATACCCACGCTGTTTAATAGCTCCATGCTTTTGCATACATTGCGGCTTCAGTCTTAGCATATTACTATGAATTTTTCAACCCAGCTCAGATTCCAAGAAGTTAGCCACCTGCCGCCCGCCCCCACCCCCACCCCCACCCCCACACTCCTATAAAGTTGGTTATTTTCTCCTCTGTCAATTTTGCATATAACAGGTACAATTTACTGGGCACTAAGTAGGAGCCTGACATTGTTGTAAGCATTTTACATATATTAACTCATTTCATCTTCATAATAGGCCTTTCCTAAAGAAGTGCTACCACAAGTACCTTTGTCAATATAGAAGGTGGATCAGGGAAGCTAAATAATCTGCCCCAAAGGCTACCTAACTGTAAAGGGTGGAGAGAGATTCTAATTCCTGGTTTACATATTTGTATTATTGCACCAAGCATAATGAATTTATTTACATAAATACCTCCCTCCTGGAATATGAGCTCCTTGAGGGCAGGGACATGCCATTTTCAGTGCTGCCTAAACAGTGCCTGGTATAAAATAGGTAATGCATGCATGCATTTGCTGAGTTGTATATAAAATAACATTCCTTACAAGTTCAAGAGAAAAGCATTTAGAGGCTATTTCCAAATAAATATTAAATATTTAATAGGAGTTTTAGAGTAGTCAGCTATTTTTTCGTGTTATAAAAGGATGTCCAAAAGAGGATATTACAGACTTTGTGGACAATGAAATGGATATATATGCAACACTACTTAATCACTATCGTAAGTAAAAACCCAAAGGCACATTTATTTAAGATTAACTTTTTTCTTTCACTAAATAAAAAATCTTCCTACTTATTATTCATGACAGTATTTTTAAAAGAGAGAACTCCGAAATCTACTTTGCTCAAGTAGAAAGAAGCGTATCAGAGACCAGTTCTACTAATTGCTTCTGTAAGCCCAGCCAAGAAATATATCTCTTTATACAATTAAAATAAAACACAGTTAGCTATCTGGCAGATAGACACAGCAAAAGAATTTCTAAGATTGTATAAACTAGCATTCCACTACTCAAACAATGAGAAAATCTGCATCATAAACTACGAAAATGAAAAATCAAGAACAAGCTTCCCACCACCCCACAAGACAAGCAGACATCGACAGCACTAAATGTTCACAACATTTCAAGTCATTCCCTGCGTCACCTTAAAAGAGAGACTCAAAGTTACTCTAGCACTAAAGGCAAAAGATTCAAGACCAACTCTCTTGTGTGCTCTCCCAGTTCCCTTCCTTGAGCCATGTTCAAGTGTAATCATTACAACCCACAGAGATGGTCCAGCAGTAACTGTGTACACCACAGTACTTGTAGAAGAATCAAAATCCCGCCCAGCTTCTACAATCAGTAGAGGCAGAGCGGAGGCCACAGTGAGTGAGTTAGGCCACAGCACAGGAAAACTCTATCCCCAAGGCCGCCTTACCATTTCTTAGTACACTCAACCATCAGCTCCTGGTAGGATGCCACAAACTGGAACTTGGATGCATGTTTCCCCACACGCTGCAGTCTCTTCCAAACTGAAGCCATGATGATCCGTCAATATATGGGAGCAGTTCTAGGTTAGCCACACAGCCTCTTCAAGAAAGCAGAGGGTCCAAAGCAAAAGAGCTTCGCATGTATGTCTGTGTTTTAAGAAACTCAACTATAACCTGAAATGATGTTTGAAGTCCATAAGTCTTCTCCCCGTTTCACAGGGTAAATCCCATCTTAGATGAATGGCCCTGTCAAGAACGGTGCGGTGCTCATGACAGGATGAAGCTGAAGACGTTCCCTCATGGAGACATCACCATTCCCCCTCCTGGGCCGTGTGACGCGTATTCTGGAGGACTGAAAAGCAAAAACAAAGACAAAAAAAAAGAGAGAGCAAGGAAATGAGAGAAGCATGAGAAGAGACTATCCACCCATGTTAGATAACACAGCAACAGACAACCCCACTTCTTCGCCTGTTTTGCCAAACAATGCAACAAAACGCCCAACCTCAAATGCCAGTAACATCAAGGATGCAAGACACCAGGGAAGAAATGATAAGTCACACAGAAGACATCGAGCAACACCTCAGGTGGTGAGCATCATTAACAACAACGGAGGGACGCCAGTCAGGGCCCAATTTGCCCTCCCAGCATCACAGGAGGGTGAGCAGAGCGGGAAAGTCAAGGGATGCTGTTTCGTGTCCACTGTCCACGGCCAGTCAGAGAAGGGGAGGGGGGCATTTGCAAATAAACTTTGTTTTTTAGTCGATAATTAATAGCCTTGAGTCCCCGACTACGTGCTTGGAACAAATGAGGGAGCGGGCGGAATGCTGTTGTTCAGCCAGAAGGGGCAAAGGGATGCGGAATGAGGAGTGGAGGGAAATCTCAAGGCACAGGGAGGGCAATGTCCCGACCAGGCCACTTGGGCTCCCCTTCACCTTCGATGCCAACCGCAAAGTCCTGCTGGGCGTTGAAGCTGGCGCTTGGTGCGGGGTCGGTGCCTCCCTCCGCCATCCTCAGGGGGACAGCCAGGGCGATCCCTGTCCCTCGGCGCAAGCAGGCGGAGGCCCCCCCGCAGCCCCTGTCACCCCGGCGATGCCAGCGGACCCCAGCCTGAAGCCCGAGCCCCGGCCCTGCCGCACGTCCGCTCCCGCCTCCCCCGCACACCTCTGACCCCGCTGTCGGACAGAGTCTGGCCCCGCTCCCTCCTCAGCGCCGCTCCTCCATCGCCGCCGCAGCAGCAGCCGCCGCCGCCACCGAGTCCTCCATCCCCAGCGGAGCCACATGGAACAGCCGAG